GAAATTAAGGAGTGATCAGCGAGGTAACAGGATCACCAAGAGAGGGTGATCCTAGGAAGGCAGTGAAGAAAGTGTGTCAAAGGGGAGGGAACTATGTTGAATCTTCCTGATAAGTCAAATAAGATGAGTAGGATGAGGATTGAATTAACCATTGAATTCTTTGGTGAATGTCATCAAGCCCAGATATTTTTGTTTAGGCAAGGAGTAGGTAATTACAGATATTTGATGTCCATTGTATTATTGGAATAACCACTGTTACCTGATTTTGCAACTTCTCCCCCTACAAAGTAGTACCACTCCTTTATGTATTTACTCACCATTCTTGCCGTATTAGTACATTCTGCAGGATTTTGTTTGATACCCTAATCTAGAGCTACTGGATAAAGTTCTCCCATGAAATGCTGAAAGTATTTCCTATACCATAATCTGTCTTTTTTACCCAGTATTGAGGGTTTTTATACCACTCTTAACAGTGTTCTCCACTAATTTCAATTTTTTTTAATTTTTTTTTTTTTTGAGGAAGATTAGCCCTGAGCTAACTACTGCCCATCCTTCTCTTTTTGCTGAGGAAGACTGGCCCTGAGCTAACATCCATGCCCTTCTTCCTCTTAATTTCAGTTTTAACAATCACTTGTTAAGTCCTCCTTATATGCCCAACTCTGTTCTCGCTATCTTGGATGTCTCGACATCTAAATCTTGGAAGATCAAGGATATTTACCCTCTTCATGAGGGCCAGTACTCTGTTGCTTGGAAATGCAAATTTATCTCCTGCTGTCTTACTTTCTTAAATTGTCTTCCATCAGCCCTTTCCAGTCATCTAGTCCCTATTCCTACTTCCTTCTCCCTAATCTCAGTGTTATCCACTGGTTCTCCTACCCATTCTCACAAGAGTGTTTGTCCTACCCATTAATTAATGGGTTACTAGGAAGGGGAGAAAAATCCAAAGACTCTAACAAGAAAATATTGGTATTTTATCCAGGTTTATTTGTGATTTATTTTAGTACAAAAATACTCAAATGTCCTGTTCTATAGCCCCAAGTTGAGGACCACTTCCCAGCATAATTCATAAGTTACTACTGTTAGACCAAGGCATCAAGAAATCTTGACCAGGTTGCTTTTAGCTTTTGAGTTGAAAGCATAGTCATTCTTGGAGGACTTTGTGGAAGCAAATGAAATTGACAAGAAACAGAAGTATCTGAAGTTGGCGAGAAATGGGAGTGGTGTCCTGACCTTTGAGAGGCCAGAGGGGACAAATCTCTGGCTGAATGTTGTATAAAGAGGAGCATAGGTAGGAAGGGGAGGGAAATGAGGACGTATACACTTAGCCGCTTGTCTTCTCTGCAGGAACATTTGGCCTGGGCATTTTGGAAAGGTCTTTATCAGAGTTCTGAGCAGGGTGTTTTCTCTGAGCCCCATGTGTTTCCTGGGATCCTAGAATCCCCCTAAGATAGTGAGTGAGTCACTGATGCTGGAGTCTTATGAGATGGCCCACTCGTTTTCTTTTCTGAGGTCTTTCAGTAGAATAGATAAGGTGATTTATAGCCTTCCCCACCTCCCTAACATCCCTTCTGAACCAGAGAAAAATGGGATATGGGAACTTTGGCCTTGACTTATAAAAGAAATCTACAAAGTGGTAGCAACATGTTTGGCTGAGCCAGCCAGAGCAGATGGCCCAAAGAAATGACCATTAGTCTGTACAGAACTATATAAACAAATGACAGCTCAAGGATGAGTAAAGTGCTTTTTCCTGGGTATGTGCTATTTTATTCATTGGTACCCAGTATTAGTGATTAGGTTGTGAGTCAGGTCAATAACCTGGGGTGAGGTTGGTCCTCAACATGCCCTCACCCACCGTCCTAGAGATGACCCTGAAGGGAGTTTATGCAGTTCTTGGAAAAAATATTCCCTGCCTAACTTCTTCCAACTTGATCCAGCTTTTGATGGGCAGGGTCTGGCTAGGTAATGGAGGAGAGGAGACCCCAAGTTCTTACTGATATTAGCATCTTGACTTTAGCCCTTTCAGACTAAATAAATCTATATCTGATTTATACAGATCTCCAGGACTGATAATTTATTCTCTAACAATCATTGTATCTAAACTGTATAGTAGCTGCTGTACTGAATCATTTGGAAGCTGGAAACCAGGAAAGGGACTAAAAAGAACCTCTCTGAAGCCCATTCATTGCTATGATTCTGTGTACACAGCCTTGGTTACCTCAAACAAATGGCAGCAAATAATTCTTCCTGTACCTCTTTTCACCATCCATCTCTTGGCTCTGTTGACTTCCTCTTCTTTTTCAGATGTCCTAGGTACCTGTTTGGGTGGGAGGAACACCTTGTATTAAAATTGCTGCCAAGAAGAGAAACCAGATGAGGTCACAGTGCATGAAAGAGCAATAAAAACAGTTTTTCCATGGTCTGAATTTTCAAGCATTGATACCCTTCAGTTATTCTTTAGGTCTCAAAGTTATGGTAGTTGTATTCCAAGTAGCCTTCAACAGAAAGATTAGTTTAGTTGATAAACTTTAGTTCTATGGTAGATGATTCTTTAAGACATGAGACCCTCTATCTTTCCTCCTTCGGTGGTACTTATTCTAGAATTGCCCTCTTCTGAAACACTGTCCATTCAACAAGTGCTTACTGAGCACCTACTTGAGTTCAGACCTTGCCCCCCAGGTTCTAGGTATGCAAGAGATCCAGTTCTACTCTCATGCACTATTCACTGTTGGCAATGTGATGAGATGTTCTGTGGTCATACTGTAGAACTTGCACTCAGGATACCATTGGGTAGAGTCTCCTCTTTCTCCCTTTTTTCAATTTAAGACTTAAAAAGGAAATCAACCTATATAATAACTGTGAGAAAGATTTAGAAATCACTTACGAGCTTCTGGCTCCATCCCTATTCAAACCGTTTCGTCTCTTAAAGGCCACTGATATGGTGGAAAGGATATTAGGCATTATAGCCAAACAGACTCTGGTTCAAATCCTGGCTCAGCCAGTTACTAGCTCTATGACTTGGAAGAAGTCACTTAAATTCTCTGAGTCACTTATGTTCATTTTCTTGGAGGCAGTAGAATTAAACAAGAGACTGGCACTAGGTGTAACCTGAAGTTTCTTTGCTAGTGACCAGTCCACTGGGGATATAGGTAGGAGTAGGGTGTTGGAAGTGTGGAATTCAGAAGAGACCTATAAGCAGGAATGCTACTTGTTGAATCAACCTTATATAGAAAAGAAGTAGACCCAAAGGAACTCCTTGGGGGTGGTGAGATCCCTATTTTGAGACAACTGTTTTAGATTCCCATGTATCTCTTTTCCTTAATTCTCTCAAATTTATTTTTATTTTGACCAGTCTCAGGTTACCTTTCCCTCCTCCCCCTCCCCCCTAGGAACTCACTGCACTCAGGGTGCCTAGGGTTCCCAAGTGGCATCCTACCTTGGTGCTTAACCTTTCCTGATCCTTTTTCTCCATAAAAACACACTAGTTCTATATCCTAATCACTCTCTTTTCCTTTATGGTTTATTAGCAAACTTGATGATACTGGGCTGAGATATGAATAGCTTTAAATGTATTATCCATCCTGGATAATTCAAATATTAATAATGTCAAATATGGGAAAAAATTTAGGCAAAGGATGTTTTTGTCACCCACCAAGTAGAGTAAGCACCTAGTGCTAGCCAAGTTGGCACCACCAAGGAGCAGATCGGTAGTCTGAAATCTCTTGCTGTCATAGAAAAGATATATACATGGCAATAAAGAGGGATCTCTTCCGTGAGGCAAAAGAGGAGTTGTGTCAGGAGGCCAAAAGCAGAAGACACCTTCTCCAGAACCAGATTATTTCTGGAGAAGGGATGTCGTTCTAGTCATTTTCTCTCCAGACACTGAGATGAGAAATGTTTGGAATGAATGTTTGGACAAGGTGGAATTAGGAGTGGGGTGGAGGCATGTGGAACTGAAACTGTGCCTGATTATACTTTGTGCCCTAGGGGCGCAGTGCTCCTGGTAGAGACTAAGAAAGTATTCATTGCTTAAGTAGATGAGCGTTCATTTGTTTGTGTCTGAATGCATCACATTTTGCCAGTTGGCCAGGAACACAGGTTGGCCTATGTGTACCGAGCTGTTGATGGTTGCTCAGAAGCAACCTTGTTCAGGCCTTGGGTACATGTGTTCTGTGTGGGTGTGATACCCTTGTCAGTGAAGCTAAACCTTTGAGATTATCCCAAGTTTATAAATGATATCTTCATCTATGTTATAAGTTCCGGGCCTCTGGGATTTTTCTCAGTCATTGAAGAAGAAAGCCTAAAGGAGGTCTTTAAAATACAGCTTTCTGTCAGTGGCCTCTAGATTTTAATCCATACACGGTATCTCTAAGGCCTGCTCTCTAATTCAGATTCTCACTACTTGGGCTCTGCTTATTCTGAAAGTGACCCAAATCTCCTTCCTTTATCCTTAGTTCTTCCTGCTATCAGGGTGAAGAAAGGATTTCTCCATCATTTTCCCAGTGGTTTTTGTATGTTTGTTTTGTTTGCTGTCTTCATCAGAAATTAAGGACAAATGGATCAGACATGTTTTTTGTGCATTTAAGTAATTATGTGCTTCTGGTTCTGCATGTCCCTGGCTCAGCTGCCTAACTGTCCCCAAGCAGTTCAGTCTCATTTTGATCCTGACTGGCCTCTTCTAAGGTAACACTTGGATTCTATCTTGGAGATCAAAAACAAGAAATGTTTTAAGTGGCTGTGGCTTCATTGACAATGGATTTGCAGTGGGTGGGCGTGGGCAATGCTTAAAGGCTAAATAAAGGCTCTTGGTAAGAGCACATATGCTGAGAGATATTTCATCTTCCCTCTTTCCATAGCAACTTTATCAGTAAGATTAAGCATTAGGCTGGTGGTATAGTTAAAAAATCTCGGCTCCAGTTCAGAGCTGTTTGTCTGCCATTACTGGAACCTATTTGCATCCATCCGTTTCATCATTTGATTTTTGTTTCCTTCTGTCTTCCCAGGTGGCATTGGTAGGGTGGTCAACGGAGCCTTCATGGTGCTGAAAGGGCATCGGTCTATTGTTAACCAGGTCCGATTTAACCCCCACACCTACATGATCTGCTCTTCTGGTGTAGAAAAGATTATCAAGGTGAGGCACCTTCCCCTTCTGTCCTTTCAGAGAAATTACTGCAATTCATAATTGGAAGAAACTAGAACAATGTATGTAGGACCTCATATCTAAACATACTAAAAGTCTATCAGAATTCTCAGTTATTTTGATATATTACAGATTGTTGAAAAATTGAAATTAAAAAGAGTGGTTTAAACCCTCCTTTCAGGACCTTTTTAAAAAATAGTCACTAGGCTTTGAAACTAGACACTACTTGTATGCCACTACATTTCCACTGGCCTTTGATCTTGAGACTGATGAATTCTGCTTTCTAAACCTCATCTGGAGATTGGGAAGCCACCATCACCTCAGTGACTCAGTATGCACTTTGCATTAATTGCTGTCCTCGTATGGCACAGATAACTAAGTGACTGTCAGAACCATAGCTCAGTCATCTCAGGGCATATCAAAACCACTACCTGTGGTTGTGATTGAGGCCAAACACTTGCATCAACTGTACTTTGACTGAAGGAACTTAACCCTACCAAGGAATACTTTTAGAGCCTGCAACTGAGAGACCCAGCCTGACCTGTATCCATGAAAGGATGGCCCACTGCCCATCACTCACATTCGGTTGCTAGTAACGCTTCTCCATATCTGAGAAAATGAAGGTTTTGGAGCAAATGATGTAGTCTTAAGGACCCTGTGATGACTGTTAAGTAAGGATAGATGATATGCCTCCCCAAAAGTTAGAACTCCTCTTTTTTTTCCTAAAATGTCATTGAAAACCTGAGGGAGGTTTCAGGAAAAAAAAGTAAAAATTGGTTTGTGATGATTTGGTAGTGTTCATTTTCTTTTGTTCTTTTTAAAAAAAAAAAAAACTGTCCAGAGTTAAACCAAGTTGTATGTGAGGCAGGGGAAGCTATCAGAAATAGAATGTTGGAGTACGGATCAATATTTTTATTTGTCCTTATTCCAGCTTCCTTTATTTGGGTTTTGTTGGTCTTATGGATTAGGGCTGACTCACAGTTGCACGCATTTCCCCATAGGCCTAGAACAGGACTTCTAGACCATTTTTACTTTTTCTTTTTACAGGTGATGAGATTTAAATTATAAATTAACTGTCTGGGGTTAATTATACAGCTAATGAGCAGTAAAGCTAAGATGGAGCCCTGTTCTTGTTCTTTCGGCGTGCTGCCACACTCAGCATGCTAGTGGGAAAGCACAGGCAGCTGATGCCCTGCTGGATTTGATCATCTTAGTAGTCCTTCGCTGTCTCTCGCATTGCTTTCCCTTCTCCTTTGGCCTATGACTAATGGGTTGGCACAGGACCATGTACTCTCTAGGCCTGTTGATGTCATTCTCTTTCTCAGAGAGCTCTGCTTGGGCATCTCCTTTAGAAGAGAGATTCCTGCTTGGCCATGCACTCTGGGATGCTTCTGTGCTGAGTCTCCCCAATTACTGTTGAGTCAATTGGCATTCTTACCCTAAAGGTCATAGGTTGGAAACTAGCCAAGTTCTCAGAGGAGAAAAAGAAGGAAATGCTTTCTCAGTGAGATTATTCAGACTGAACTATGGAGCTCACTGCTTCCAGCTGCCAATGGGGTCTGAATCTTGCCCCACCAGGAGGTATATTTAGCCATGTGAAACCTTAAGTCAGTACAGTTAGTACCCTTGAGTAACTCTTTGAGTCTGTCTCCCACCTGTCAAGTGAGGGTACTAACAGTGACTTGCCACTCTTGTAAATTACCTTGTGAATTACCTGTGCCTGACGATTTCTGACTACTTTAATAAATGTCCCTTTCCCAGGCCAGCCCTATGGCATAGTGGTTGAGTTCACATACTCCGCTTTGGCGGCCCAGGTTCACATGTTTGGATCCTGGGAATAGACCTACACCACTCATCAGCCATGCTGTGGCAGCCACCCACATACAAAATAGAGAAAGACTGGCATGGAAGTTAGCTCCGGACGAATCTTCCTCAACAGCACAACAACAAAAGTCACTTTCCTGCTTGCTATTTCTGAGAGATCAATGGCTCAAAGAACGTCATCCCACCATGTTCTAGTCCAGCCTGAGACCTGCTTTTCTCTCTCTTTCTCCACTTCACTCCACCTTCTCCCTGTCTTGTCCTTTACTACTGCCTTTCTAGCCCAGAGGGGAAGAGCCCGTTGTCAAGGCCAGCCTCTTCTCGCTCATAACAGGTCTTCTATCCCCCTGAATACCCACACATAGCAAGAGGGGGTTCATTTTGAAGTTAAATGTAAGGCAGGGCAAGATGGAGCAAATGGCTAACATTTTTGTCAAAGACCAATATTCATGTATTCACCCCATGTTTGTGATATACGTATTGTGTGCCATTTGTGCTAGGTCCTATGAGGAGCACAAAGGTAAAAAAAGGTGAGGCAGGTCCCCCTAGGAATTGATGACCCCTTAGGAGAGACAAGAAATAAAGATAATGAAAAGTGTAAGGTACACAAGAGATATAAACAGAGTGCTGTGGGAGGAGGGAGAGATTTTTTCCCATCTGGGGTAATCTCAGTCTAGGTAGTATTTGAACTAGACTTTGAAGAATAAAGACTGCAAGAGGAAGGTGAGGGGTAAGATAGGAAGAACATTCTAAGTAGAGGGAATGGAATTTATTTCATTGAATCAACAAATATTTATTGATCACCTACTGTGTTCCAGGCATTATGCTTATGAATGAATGCTCAGAAGCAGTAGAGTGTCAGACCTATTCCGAAAAACAGTGGACAAAGTGAAGAACACAAGAAGGGAGGACTGAGTTATAAGGCTGGGAAAATAGTCTGGAGGTGGGCTCACTGGGTCTTGGAACAAGAGAGTGTGGAGAGCTCTTGAATTGCAATTTAGGTCCCTATCTGTGTAGTTTTCCTCGGAGACAGACAAATTGCTAGATTTAGTATAATAGCACAAAGAGAGGAGAGGGCTTGGAGCTGCCGCATCAAGCATGCCATGGTCACTGAGTAGATCAGAACACTTGTTACTTCATTGCTTTCCGTTTTGATGATGTTGGGATGAGACTTGAACTGCATCTTTTTCCTCGGCAGCCTCTTGAGCTAAACTTTTCACTGGGCTTGGAGAGAGCTGCTCCTCCCTCCTCCTCTTCTCACGAACCTTGGCCATGAGGAGGCAGTCTCACCACATTCACATGTGACAGGAAGCTGTGTTTTCACTGCTTCACTTCTGAGGTTTGACTTGCAGTGTAAAGAAATAAACAATTTCACAAATGTTTGAAATTGATATTTTAAGCATGAGGACCAAGATAATATGGAAGGTCAGGACTTGTGGTGTTGAAGAGTCCCTTTGAGGATGGCTCCAAAACTTCCTGGTTGAGGTATTCAGCTGCCAAATGAAAGAGAAAGCACTACATTTTTTGGTGCTTTGGTATAGGTTATAGCGTTTCATCCTTCTCATTTCTACAGATGAGAAAAGAAGCTTTTAAGGGTGAAGTCATTTGCCCAGGGCCATGTGAAGTGGTGGAGCTGGGCTTTCTTACCTGTTCTGCCTGCTCCCACAGTTCTGTGCTACGAGTCCCTTGAGGACTGAGGACCGGCTGTCTGGGATGGGGATTTTGTTCTGCTCCAAATCTTAAGATTCACTGTTTAGATGAGGGAGCTGAGCTTCACCCACAGTCACCAGCCAACTAGGAGCTTAGTGGGAACCCACACTCAAGTCTCCTGCCTCCTGATCCAGCATTTTGTTCCATTACTCCAAGCTTCAGGAATGAAAGTCTACCTCAGCTTAACACATTCCAGAGCCCAAATAACAGCTGACTTTCAGTGTTATGATTTTCATTCCTGAAGTGAAGACATAGGGGGCTGGGCAGTAGAGTAGAACCTGGAAACTGGCTTGTTGGATAGTTGGACCAGCATCTCACCATTAATATTTTGTACTTCTGTTAACGAATTCTCAGTTTCTGTGAAGTACATATGGATTTATCTTCATATTAGACAACATGGTTAGTAACCTTTTACCATATTTAAATTAAGGAAATGAGAGATTTGGCCCAGAATATAGAATAAGACTCAGAAAGATCCTAAGGGCTTTGCCTTTTAGATCCCTCAGTTTCCTTTCTAAGCCACTGAACTTTTATTCCCTCAGACATCTAATTGCAGAGAGAGTCGGTTATAGCTGGAGCCCATTGCTGAAGGCCATATCTAAATGTTTCTCAAACATTGAGTGTCAAAAAGAATTTGAGACTCTCTTCAGGCAAATCTTTTATTTTCTGCTGACAATACTCCAGTGTTTTTTAAAAGTTGATCCCCCCACTTACTCACCCCTGCAGGGGATGTTGAAAGTGCAGAGCCCTGGGACCTACCCATGACTTATTGAATCAGAATCTCTAAGGGTGGGGCTCAGGAGTCAACGTTGTAATTATTCTTCAGGTGATTCTTAGGCACTCCACAGTGTGAGAATCACGGCCTTAAAACTCCCCTGGGTGAGATTATGAAGCTGGAGAGGGGAGAACAGCTGAGGAGTTGTGGGCAGGGAACAAAGTCAAAGGAGGACTAAATCTGAGTTGGGAATTGGTGAAGAGAGCTAACCCAGAAGGTTTTTTCAGCCCCTCTTGAACTGGGGATCCTCCAAAGAGATGCTGCCTCCCAGGAGTTCAAGTAAAACACGGAGGGAATAGGCCTCAGGAAAGTGCTCACAAGCAGGCAAGTTTGTCCTTGGATAGCTTTGGGGAAACAAAGCCATTGTCTTGATAGAGGGTAGGGAATGAGGACCCACTGTTTTCTGGGTTGGATGCCATCTAAAGATAGACATTAGCCTGTCAGGCAAGAAGATTGCCTGGAATTTCATCTGAGTTGCCATGACTACCGGCTGATGTAACCCAGCTTCTCTGCGGACCAGTCTGGCAGTCAGGTGAAGCTAATTGTTCTCATTTGCAGTGACAGCTTAACTACCTTGAACTTGATTTTTGCATAACTTATTCAACTTGTAAAGCTGGGCCTTTGTGTTCAGACAGACCTGAGTTTGAATCCTAGTTCTGCCACCCTTTAGCTATGAGCCCATGTCTCTGACCATGAAGCGGAGGGGTGTTAAGGGATGGGGTCACAGTCTTGTGGGGTGTGTCCTACCTATTCCTGCAACTAACAGAAGAGTTGAGGGGCAAGCCAGCATTTCCCTGGTTAAGAGAACCGAGTTTCCTGGGAAACTGATGCCAGAGGGAACTGCAGTATAGGCAGTCGGCTATTCTTATCCAGCTCCAGTAAGCAATTCCCATTAGTTAAAAACAGAAATGTTGCAGTTGGGGAGAAGTGGAGTTATAAGCTGAAATATTGACTGTCGCAGAGTACTGACTGCTGGGTCTGTTTTCGCTTTGGATAAGTGGTACCTCTCTGCACAGGTTTAGTCTTCTGAGAGTTTTGAACACATTGGCCAATCTTCAAGTCATCCCCTATCCTCTGAGATTATGAAGGGAGTTATTGTAATTTCCAAGCTACTAATAGAGGAAGCTGAAGAAAGGGGTTGTGGGGGAGATTGTGTGTGATTATCCTGGGCCTAGAAACAGGACTTAGGTCTCCTGACATGAGGCTAATCCTGTGTCCTAGACCAAGCTTTTTCCCACATCTGACTCCAGAACCCTTGATTTTCGTATGTGGCCCACAAAATCCAGTCTAGTAAAGACTTGTATTTATTTACAGTTGGTTAGCAAGTCCTGGCTAAATGACAGGGAGGGTCTGGGAAAGCTCTGCCTGGGTGTTCTGTATCGCCACCAGCTTTAGAATACTTTCCAGTCAGCCCTTCTTGGGTTTGTTTCTCCTCTGCAGATCTGGAGCCCGTACAAGCAGCCAGGTTGTACCGGAGACCTGGACGGTCGGATTGAGGATGATTCCCGCTGCCTCTATACGCACGAAGAGTACATCAGCCTTGTGCTGAACAGTGGGAGTGGCCTGTCGCATGACTATGCCAACCAGTCTGTGCAGGAAGACCCCCGGATGATGGCCTTCTTTGACTCTCTGGTGCGCCGTGAGATCGAGGGCTGGAGCTCTGACTCAGACAGCGACCTCAGCGAGAGCACCATCCTCCAGCTGCATGCAGGGGTCAGCGAGCGCTCAGGATACACCGACTCAGAGTCCTCGGCCTCGCTGCCCCGCTCTCCTCCACCCACAGTGGACGAGTCTGCCGACAGCGCCTTCCACCTGGGGCCTCTGCGGGTCACCAACACAAATGCAGTGGCGTCAACCCCGCCACCGCCTACGTGTGAAGATGCAGCCTCTCGTCAGCAGCGCCTGTCTGCTCTGCGCCGCTACCAGGACAAACGCCTCCTGGCCCTTTCCAACGAGTCCGATTCTGAAGAGAATGCCTGTGAGGTTGAACTGGACACAGATCTCTTCCCCCGGCCACGGTCTCCCAGCCCTGAGGATGAGTCCAGCAGCTCCAGCAGCTCCAGTAGCTCCGAGGACGAGGAGGAGCTGAATGAACGTAGAGCATCCACCCGGCAGCGGAATGCCATGCGGCGCCGACAGAAGATGCCCCGAGAAGAGAGGCCCAGTGCCCCGACCAAGACTGCCAACACCTACATTGGAGAAGACAATTATGATTACCCCCAGATCAAAGTGGATGACCTCTCCTCCTCCCCCAACTCCTCCCCGGAGCGGAGCACTTCTACTCTGGAGATTCAGCCAAACCGGGCATCACCAACTTCTGATATAGAGTCTGTTGAGCGAAAGATTTATAAGGCTTACAAGTGGCTTCGCTACTCCTATATCTCCTACTCCAATAACAAAGATGGAGAGAGCTCCCTCATGTCTGGGGAGGCAGATGAAGGGAGAGCGGGAACCAGCCACAAGGACAACCCAGCCCCTTCTTCTAGTAAGGAAGCCTGTCTGAACATGGCCATGGCCCAGAGGAACCAGGACCTGCCCCCTGAGGGCCGCAGCAAGGACACTTTTAAAGAAGGGACTTCTGCCAGAAATCCCAGCAATGGCCCAGGCCATGAGCACAGCAGCCACCCTTGGGCAGAGGCACCAGAGGACACCTCTCAGGACACCAACAATGGTAGCTCTGTAGAACACTCTTTTGAAACGAAGAAGCTTAATGGAAAGGCCCTGAGCAAGGCCCTGAGCAGCCGGGCTGAGGAGCCACCCTCTCCTCCTGTCCCCAAGGCGTCTGGCTCCACTCTCAGCAGCGGGTCTGGCAACTGTCCCAGGACCCAGTCTGATGATGGTGAGGAGAGGAGCCTCGAAACCATCTGTGCCAACCACAACAATGGACGCTTACACCCCCGCCCCCCTCACCTCCACAACAATGGGCAGAACTTTGGGGAGCTGGAGGCAGTGGCCTGCTCTTCCCCGGGACATTCGGACACTGACCATGATAACTTGTCCCTGGCAGGGACACTACTACACAAAGATTGTTGTGGGTCTGAAATGGCCTGTGAAACCCCCAGTGCTGGAACGAGAGAGGACCCCACTGACCCCCCAGACACAGACAGCAGCAGGGCTGTTCATGGCCATAGTGGCCTCAAAAGGCACCGAGTTGAATTGGAAGATACAGATTCAGAGAATTCCTCCTCAGAGAAGAAATTAAAAACATGATAAATACAAAGGGAAAGCAAAAAGCTACAAAAAGTAGCTTTACAAAAAAAAATTTTAAATCTTGTTTAGTGAACACAAAGGAAAGGAAAAAAGTATTAAAGACACATAAAACCAGGTCCTGAAATTTTGTGTCTGATGCTGCTCCCTTCTATTCAACAATGGGTCTGATGTTTAGCTGGCCATTGGCTTGTGCTGTGTTAAGAAAGGGAAAAAAATCCAAGTGACTCCTTTCTAGTAAGACTTGAGCATAGTGTATCTGTGCAGATTCTGTTAAAGTAAATCCTTATCGAGACGTTTGACTTATTCTTGTGTGTTTGCACTGGCACGTGTGAGCTCATTGTCTCAGACTTTTCTTTCAGTTCTCCATCAGAAAGGATCTATGGATCTCTATTTTTTGCCATCTCACCTTGTTTACATGGCATAGGTGTTCTGGTCTTAACACGGAGTGCCTGCTAAGTCAGGTTGTGCTGCCAGTGAGTAATGGATTTATGCTGAAAGAGTGGAGAAGAGAATGGAAGCAGGCCTTCAGCCCATTGGCTGTGCTGGAAAGGAAAGCATGGTTCCTTTCTTAAAGAAATCTTCCATGTTTTCTCTCAGTAGCACTTCTTCATTGAGCATTTAATGTATACATACTGAAGTGGAGCATTTTAATGCTGTTGAGAGGTTAGCACTTAAGATCAGATTCAAGAGAGCATAGATCCCTGATAAATTTCACTGATTGCAAATTGAGCGATGCTGCAACATGGTATGGAGGCCATAAAATATAACTAGTTGTGGGTAACACTTTAACCGGTTAGGTGCTAGTTCCTAAGAGGCACTCAGAAGGCCGGCAGACACTTCCTTGGCCCCATGTGATGGTGTCTAGGCATATTGAAAGAGGGTGCAAAGACAGCTCTCAAGAGCTTTGTGCTCAAACTACTAAAGTGGATGTTCTAGGTCTGTTAATGAAGAAGTGTAGTAAAGAGCAGAGTGTGGTACTATATTCATTTAATTCAACCCAAAATGACTAGTCAGGATTGATGGGACTGGCATCTTCCCTCAGGCTTGCAATTGACAGAGGCTGTGGTATTCTGACTAGATCTTGCGGAACTGTAGGCATCTCGAAGTAACAGATTCTTACTGAGTAGGTCTGTTAGGAGGCAGAGAGTGTGGAGAGAAGAGTCGCTGGTTTAAGACTCCTGGCTCCTAGAAGAGACTGATTGAGATAGATAAAGATTGAGAGGGGAAAAGACCAAGAGATTTTCAGCATTGCAGTGGTGCTTATAGTCACTTGGTTATCAATGAAGGATTGTACAAGACTGGGAGACCTAGGAATGACCAGATATCCTGTTGGCATAGATGTCATGAAAAGGCAGGAGAATACTGGCAGGAAATGAGGCAGAGAGAGAGAGAGAAGAACACTATAACTTCCTTGGGCGCAAAGGTGCTAGACCTAGGAGCCCAACCAGCACTGGCATAGAGAGGATCTAATGTGTGACTGGTGTGGCCTCACTGATCCAGCGTTCCTTTTAGAAGAGGACCTGTCCTACTGGGACTGGGACCAAGGGGAGACAACCTGTGGAGGATGAAGACTGGATGAATGTAGGCACTAGGGGAAGGGGGGTTATTTATAAAAGGAAGGTTGTTGATCTAAGCCAAAAGGAGATATCATCTTGCTAAGCTTTGTGAAAGGGAAATGTACCTGGTATGTGTGATGTGACTTGGGTGTGAAAACACTGTCTTAGGAGACGGAGATAAGGAGTGTGAGTAGCAGTGGGGATGCTTACAATTTAACAACTGTAATCTCACTGGGGGAGTGGGAAAGTGATTCTGTAACCATTAGAATTACTTTGGATTTGTAATCAAAATGGTTCTATGATTTGTCTTTGACTATTCACATATAATTGTAAATTCTGGTTTTATAAGCCCGAGTCATTTTACATTTGCTTTTCCAAAATTTATTAAATTGGAATTTTTTAATCCTTTATATACAAAAAAAAGATACAATCACTCAGTGTGTGTTTCTCTTCCCCTTCCTAGTCAGCATACCCAATCTTTTTTGCTTTGATTTATTTAATCTAATCAGTGGGTAGCCTCTTCTGTCTTCTCTAAGGGCAATCCATATATCTTCCTTGAAAAAAAGTAGTTACAGTTTCCTTGGGAATGAGCCACTTGGTAGTTACTGTTCCCAAATGCAGAACTTGGTCTTTGATGTTAAAAGCCTTAATCTCATTTGGGTACTCAAAAGAGAAGTCACAGTTCTTCTGGTTCAGCTTTAGGATGCAAGAAAGATCATTTTTAGCAAGGATGTCTTCCATCCTTGGGGGAGACTCTTCTCAGCACCCCAGGTTCCACTTGCCAGGAGATAGGCCCCACAGGATACTCACAGGAGCTGAGAAATGCTTGTCTCTGTAGCCACTCCACTGTCATTTCCAGAAATCTGTGGTGATGGTGCTGGAAAACCTGGCAGGAACCACTTCCAGGGTCCCTTTGCTTAAACCCTTGTAGAATTGAGCCTCTAACTGTGGAGGCACATTTAACCCCCAGATTCTTCCCTGGTAGGTAATTTTACTAGCAGGACAGATGGCGCTGATTAGGTTAAGAACTATTCGAAAGTGCCTCTTATGTTTTTTTCTGCATCCTGTACATAAAATTTTAAGTGGCTGGTCCAGATATATGAAACTGTTTTTCTCCACTTCATTTTCCACCTGGTTTTGTAAGTGATTCCTCTGTCTCTAAGACAGCAGGTAAATGAGTTAAATGAGTAGTTGGCTTGGGGCAAACGAAGGTTGCAACTGTGCTTGATTTACTAAGCCGGGAGTCCCTTGTTTGTCAAGGTGCCTTCCTCTGCTGAAGCCTTACCTCCTCACAAGCCCTCCCGCCCCACCCCCAGCAACGCTAGCTCTTCTCTCGTGTATATGCAAATAAATCTGTTATTCACTTCTCATGGCTTGCTATTCTCTTCCAGGGAAGACTGGGCTGCCTAGACCCTTCTCCTCCTTCATTTCTGTCCTGTTTTAATACCTGCCTAGTTGGAAACTTGGTTCAAAGCCACACTGAAGACTAGAAGAAAAACTGGTACTCCACGTCCATGCCAATGGTCATTGTCACTTGTAGGTATTGGGACAAAGGTCACACCTGGACAACAAAATGTAGGGTAGGAGGAGCTATCTACTTGGTCTCCTTTATCAGTCTTGGATGGACTCAGGATAGCAAGATCCTGGAACTGACCCTTCTGTTAGTGGGAACTGAGGAAGTGATGCAGTGAAGTGACATTACAAACAGCCCCAAAAGAAATTATATTTTCTGATGTTTCCAGCTGTCAAATTACTTTTCCTGTCTTGTCGCAGGCATGCATTGCAAACATTTTTTCTTAAAAGAAAAACAACCAACTTATATATCCTGCCTGTAAAGCTGCCTCCTTCAGTTAACTGAAAAATTCTTGCCAACAAGACTCTTGTGAGGAAAATAGATGCTTCCAAAGGAAGGCTGTCCTTCCCGTGTGCTGTGAGCAAGGCAGTGGGCCAGGGTGGAAGCACTAAGGTGAAGGAAGACTCGGTGAGTCTGGACTTGCCCACAGCAGCGGGCTGATGGCTTTGAACAAGTTGCGTGGTTCTCAGGTGGGATATTTTGGTCTAAGTGCTCCCTTGTCCTTGAGTACTCATACTGGAATGAAATAACATGTGGCTTGGAAGTAATTTTGAATTTCTTAAAAGAACAGTGCTTCCTACATGCAACAGAAGAAAAGTGTATATGAAAATCAAATCTGAGCCATCTGCACCCTAATTGCATTTCACTGTTAGTATATTGGTGGTCAGATGCTTCTCAGAATGGAGGCTTAGAGGCAAAGGTGCACTTCACTGGGGCCAGCACTAACATGGCCAGGGACATGCGGGAGGAGTTGCTCAAGTCCATTCACTCAACAAGGTTTACTTGAGCTTGCAGAAGGGTCCTGCAGCGCTTATCTGCAAGACAGTCACATTGCAAGGAAATGGGCTATCTGGTATTTCAAATTACTGAAGTTGGAAACTGACTCCTTTCTGGAGCCTAAGGCTATGAGCTAATGGAATATTCCAACTGAAGTACAGAATGCTAGCTTACAATTATCCCTCTGTCTGGCTTTGTTAGTATCCCCACCAAGGCCAGAGAAAGGCGGTAGAACACTAAGATATCCGGGTGCTGACCTAAGATCCTTAGACAAGAGAGACATTCTTGTGTTTTAGGAGAGCTGGGAGGGAAGACATTGGAGGGAAGGGAATCAGGAAGACTGCAGTTGAAGGAATGAAATCCTAGGTGGGTTCACCAGCTTTCCACATCCGCAGAGCTAGCGTTTAACGTGCCATGCACTGGCCTCTAAAATGCTTGGTCATCAAGATTCTCCAAAATCCCCAAGTAAAATCCTTAATTTATAAAGGAAGTCAATAAAAATGCAGGATTGGTTTGGGAGAAATTCTCTTTGCTGGAAGGCACGAATTCCATGAAATAATGATCACATAGTGACCTGAACACCAGCACACTTCAACATATACCTAGACAGGTGAGTGTGTGGTGGTTGGTGATTGGCATAGGCTTTCATAGGGTAACAAACATCTGCCTTCTTGACTCTTCCTGGGCTGGTTAGTGATGCTATTTGGTCCTACCCCTACCACTTTTTTCACTTTGTTATTTTCTCCTCATGTCTCAGAGTCAATGTTTTCTAACATTTCTAGTCTCTCCAAGACCCCACCTTACATTGTTAAGGCTAACTTCTGTTCTTTTCTGTTCTTCCTAAGAGAGACCTGTGAGTGGGATGGAAATGGCATTGAACTAGCATCAGAAATGGATTCTAGGGGCCGGCCCAGTGGCACAGCGGTTAAGTTTGCACGTTCTGCTTCGGCGGCCCAGGGTTCACCGGTTCATCTCCCAGGTGTGGACATGGCACCACTTGGCAAGCCATGCTATGGTAGGCATCCCACATATAAAGCACAGGAAGATGGGCATGGATGTGAGCTCAGGGCTGGTCTTCCTCAGCAAAAAGGAGGATTGGCAGCAGATGTTAGCTCAGGGCTGATCTTCCTCAAAAACAAAAAAAAAGAAAGAAATGGATTCTATGCTGGTTCTTCACGGAGTAGCTGCGTGAGCCTTGGGCAAATCACTCAAACTCTTGGGAACTGTGAAATGGAGGTCCCTCTCAACTCTGAAATCTGGTTCATTCCATGGGCTGTTCAGATCCCACTCTAACTCATTAGAGTTCTCATTCCTTAGACATCCCTGTAGTGCCCACCAGAACCAGTCAGTGAGCCAAGATCTTTGGCAAGTGCACAAATGCTCACAGCCTCAAGCTCCTCATCTGTAAAATGGGGAAAGAATGCCTGTTTTGGTACATTTTTGGAGGATGAGATGTGTGTATACATCTAACTTAGGACAGTGCCTGATAAGTGGAAAGCACTGAAGTGTTTGCTGTCATTAGCAGGTCCTCTCTTCTCTGCTGTCATTGCTCGTTGATAGCAACATGCACACCACAGAGAAGACTTTTGGCTGGGGTCTGCCAAGGAATGTAGAAAGTAAGTTCTCCTACAAAGAAAGGATTTACTATTTATTAGCAAACCTTAATCTGGGAGCCGGCCCCGTGGCCGAGTGGTTAAATTCTCGCGCTCTGCTTCCGCGGCCCAGGGTTTCGCCAGTTCGGATCCTGGGCACAGAGATGGCACCGCTCATCAGGCCATGCTGAGGCGGCATTCCACATGCCACAGCTAGAAGGACCCACAACTAAAAATACACAACTATGTACCAGGGGGCTTTGGGAGAAAAAGGAAAAATAAAATCTTTAAAAAAAAAAAAAAAAACCTTAATCTGAAACCAGAGGGAAAGAGTAAATTATCCCCATTATAGTGAACCTAACTAAAACTGAGTTTGGAGCCCTGGATACCACCCCGGACTTGGGGAGCCAGATTTCTAAAGGCTCTGTCTGGAGCTGGGAGCTTAAAAAAAACCCAGACTCAGCTGACAGAAGCCTCACAGATCCTTGCTTATGACAGCAAGTCTGCAGGGGCTAGGGAGGGAGGGGCAGATTTCAGTAGGCTGCAGTCTTAATGTGGTGGTGCTGGAGATGACCCAGACCTCAGGAGCTGGGACAGCAAAGTTCTCTCTGGGCTTCAGAGCTGAAATTCCCCAGTGTGGCACTGGGCCAGCCCTAGAGGATCAGGAAAGCGACAAGCCGTGGAAATGCTGTGTTTGTGCCAAAGAAGTTTTGACCAGAGCTTCCCATGCAGGATTGTTTTGTGGATGTGTGTTAAATCTTCTTTAATATCTAATTCAAGAAGAAGCTAAAACATAAAAAAGCCAACAGAAGTCTGACTAGGCCAAGAGGAAAGAGGGTCAGAGTTCAGTCCCGGCCCACTGAACCCTCAGGACGGAGCTGGGAGAGAGATCCAAAGGCACACGCGTGTGTGGCGCTCAGAGCAGGCAGAGAAATATGAGAAAAGAGGGTTTGACCTGCTGGGGGAAGAGAGGCAATGGAATTAGACTTGGGGGAAAAAGCTTTTCAAATAAAACACGTTGGCCAGAAGAGAAGCCAGAGCAAGGGTGTGGGAGATTAGGAGGGCATCAAAGAGTTCGGGCCTAAATTAGCATCTTTGACCTTACCCTCCAGGAGGTGGAGGTGGTAAGAACATCATCCAGTGCAGCCCCCTCGTTTTAGAGATTAGAGGCCAAGGCCAGGCAGCGGCTTGGCCTGGCCTCTGAGGCTAGTGCTCTCCTCACATCTTGCTGCTTCCTAGATTGGTTCTTGGTTGGGGGAAGGCACTTACCTTGATCTCACGCCCAACCTCACCCAGTGTGACCCCAGCGGGGACTCTGATTACAATCTGCAGCAGTAGCAAGGGATTGAAAATGGCCTGTAAGGAGGCAGGGTGAGGACGGTAGAGCCTGGTGCAAAGGAAAAACAGGGTCAGCTGAGCTTGGACCACCCCTACCCCCAGAAAATCAACACAAGAGCCCTGAGAGCAGACTAACCTGTGACTT